TTCGCTATGCTCTACTATAGCATAAAATAGACTAGCTAACTTCAACGTATTGTTGAGAGAGGCTTAGTGTATATTAAATCAACCTCACAATGAAATATGTGTACCTTTTTTTAAATATGAACGTCACATTTCAAGATGGTCCAGAAATAACGCTCCCTTAGATATTGTAATATGGTTTGTTGAACTGGAGTTATTTATTGCAGCTAACCGTCTATCCGACGAACGACCCAAACATTGTTGTTTTTAATATTATTACCAATGCCTCTTTTAATTGTATTATCCTCACACTTGAGAAACAGCCTCATCGTGGCTGTAGAACGGAACATGTAACTTAATGCCTGCATTTAAGGACGATGAATAGCGTAGTCAATGCTTTAGTGACAAGGAAATGATTTGTTTAAATATTAGATATGACGTTATCTGTGACTTCAGTGGAAATGAAGCTTATCCATTACATTGCATTTGTTCAATAGGTTTGTGTCTTACCCTTACGTGTGTGATACATATGAATATGGCATATGAAAACAAATTAATTTGACTGACTCAGGAAAACCTCATCCAAAGTAACAGTAAAATAAAAAGGACCTACACAATAATACTCAATCAAACTGATACAGTATAAGGACTGTGATATCCAGCAATTTCTTAAGTATAACAATAAGATTATGACCTGTTTTTAAAAGAAGATAAAAAGTTGTTTGCATGTAAAGAAGTCTGTAACCCACGCATGTAACTTTACATCTGTTTGTTCAAAGTCTCCTCAAGGTGATCCACACAGGCTGGACCAGAGGAGGAGAGACAGATCTGGACCAGAGGAGGAGAGACAGATCTGGAGTCCTAGCAGCAGAGAACTTCAGCACGGATTCCATGGTACACCTTTTTCATGCTTTACAAAGAATGCATAAAGTAATGACTCCAATACACTGATAGACATGCCATTAAACATGACTGAATACTAGATCCCCCACACATCAGTGATGTTGAGTGTACTTTCTTAGAAAAAGGTTACATTTACATTTTACCAAGCAACATCACATAGTGAGAGCTGCGACCCTTTGTCTTTCAGTGAGACAACCGAACAGAGCAAGCTTCTACAGTTGCACTAAGTTTTGATAACAGTTAAATATTATTTTAATAATACATTTATTTCAATGTTGATGAATTTAGAACGGTTTATTCATAATCTGATTATCTTTGTAGTACACTGTTGGATTTAAAAACACATTCAAATAAAAAAATCATTATATTTATGAACAAACAAACACACCTCTTTCTTAAATAACACACTTGCTCTGCAATAATATGTTTTTTGATATTTCTGTTAGGAGAGGACATGCCTGAGAGACAGGACTGCTTCACCATGTTCTCTTTCTCTGAGGGTCCAGAAGAACATCCAAGAGGGAAAGGAAAAGCTGATGAGATTTAAGAGCAGTACAGGACATTCACTAAGAGACAATTATATTGTAACACAAAGACCTGCACACTGACTAGATTTGTAGTCTAACAGGAACTTCATTTGTGTTGTTTTGTGTTTTACGTTGCACCTCAGAGACAGTGTGATTATTGTCAGGCCTATAAAGTTTGGCAAAAAAAAAGTCAGCTGATCAAATGCATTTGCCTCACTTTGAGCTTCACATCACTTGTGCCTTGTACCGCGGAGTTTGGAACGTCATAAATAAATGGTGCCAATCTTCAGTCAGATGTGAATGTGTAATCTAACATTTTCAGTAAGAATAACGGACAAAAGGAGAGCAGATACAATTTATTGAAATGTGAACTAAAAGTTATCAAGCATGAACCATCACCATTTTTTTTTTAAATAAAAACGAAATAATATACATAAGTTACACTCAATGTTAATCTGTTAATTGACAGGCTAGGCCTGTGCAGGTGGTAACAGCTATGCCCAGCATGGGCTAAGTTCTGTAGGTGGTGCAGGTCCTCCTCCATCAGGTCTGGTCCTCCTCCATCAGGTCTGCAGGGTCTTTCCCTGCGAGGAGGACTCCTCGCAGGGAAAGACCCTCAGCCCTCTCCGGCCAAACCAACAGACAGGACGTTCATAAAGCTGAGGTCTCCCCCAAAGTCTCTAATCATCCATCCTGTGAATATGAGAGGGGAACAAATAGTGTAATAGATGCTTTGGACAATAAGAAATATAAAGTTAACTGTTGAGTTGCTCAGTTTTTTAGATTGACAGGGTTTAATAACACAAACAAAAGGAGAGAAATAAAGATTGGTCTTTCAATAAATTGTGTTGATTTTGTCTTTTGAATTGTTTGTCTGAAGTCAAGTAGCTAGAACTGTTACTTGTAGTTTGAATGATACAGTCTGGTTATAATGTGTGGAGGAGGCATCACAGGTAAGAGCACCATTTGTTGTGTTCCATCCACAACACATTGATGTGTGTGTATTTATTTATCTACTATTTCTTGAATCATTACTGTCAGTCCAAAACAAGAGATTTTATTTTGGTAACATTTAAATAAAAAAAAACATTATCTCTTTTCCACTACACTATCTTGAATACTTTAGTTTTTACGTCACTACATTTATCTAACAGCTTTAACATTGTAAAGGTGTCACTTCGGACTCTGGGTAATTATGACAGCATGTCCTACTCAGAGCCCTAGAGTCTCTCGGGCTCTGGTCCTACTAGTTTGAGACTTTGAACAAACCAGACCTTCATCTATTAATGTAGAAAATAGTCGGCACATTAAACCATTATGAAAGTAATAATTAGTTAGCTCATTGTTCAAATGAGCTCCAACTACAACAGTTAAGTCAACTCGTGCATCGGTAATAACAATAAATCAAATGATATAATATAATAGTATAACTTGTGTTGTGATCACATGACTGACAAAGCCGTGCTCTGATAGGCCAAGTCAGTTTGATTGCATTAGGGCTCGATTGCTTATCCTGTCTGAGTAGCCCGGATGATGCTGCATCGCAATTTTGGACATCCAATTTTATACACCGAATTTTTTTACATCGAATTTTTTGACGTCGAATTTTTGGGATCTGAATTTGAACATTCGAATTTTTTTCACTTGAATTTTTACATTTTTATTTCACATAGGTAAATTCGGAGCAAAAACATTCAGATACATGATTTTCAAAGTAATTATTTTCAATGCTATAAATTCGGTGTCTAATAAAATTCAAATACTTCTGTCTCTTGTTTGCTTCCATAGAAGGTCCTATCCAGGGTATTTGAACTGCGAGATGAGATCCGCATCTTTTTGGAGGAAGGGGGTAATAAACTAAGCCTGGAGTTTGGTGATAAAAACTTCCTCGTAAAAGTTGCATACCTGAGTGACATGTTTCAAAAACTAAATGAACTCAATCTGCAGATGCAAGGGACCAACACACACCTTCCACATCTGGCAGATAAAATAACATCATTCACACGATAACTGGAGATGTGGGAGCAACGAGTTAAGGAGAGAAATATAGACTCATTTGAGAACCTCAAATCATTCATCGAGGTAAACAAGCTGCGGAACACAGAGATCCCATGACAGCTCACATCTCTGCCCTACAGAAGTATTTTCAGAAATATTTCCCAGTGCAGGATCCTCAACAATACGACTGGATCCGAGACCCCTTCAGTGCAACACCACCTTCCGACTTCAGCACTGCAGTGGAGGAACAGTTCGTTGATCTCTCCTCTGATTCAACAACGAGGCTGCAGTTCAAGTCTAAGACACTGGTTGCTTTTTGGATTGGAGTTGAGAAGGATTACCCACTGCAGGAGAGCCATGGCCACACTCCTTCCTTTTGCCACATCCTACCTTTGTGAGGTAGGTTTTTCTGCTGTGGCCTCAATCAAAACAAAATACAGGTCAAAGCTGGACATTGAAAATGAACTAAGAGTAGCAGTCTCACAGATACAACCCCGGTTTGGAAAGACCTGCAGCACTAAGCAAGCCCAGACCAGTCACTAATATGTGGTGATATGTGGTGTTTGAAAAGAAAATGCTCAGGTTTTAGTTTTTTGGAAGCTGGTTATATTTTAAAAGAGAGGTCATTTTTTGCATGGTTGAAAGCAGAAATTTTATTACACAGTTCATAATTCAACTTAAAGGTGATGTCACTTTATTATTTATGTATTCTTTATTTTGTTTTGTTAAATGATAATTTGCAGTATGAATCACACTGTTTAAAAATAAATGTTAAGAGTTCAGAAGCTAAAGATGTGTGTGTCGTATTTGGGGGGGGGGGGGGCTCGAAAAATATTCTTGAACACTTGAATACTGTGAATACAGTAAAATGTGTATCTAATAACGCCATCACAATCGGCACATTGATATGCAAATTAGGCGTTAACTAGGCCTAATTAAAATGCGCTAATTTGCATGCAGTGAACAAGGCATTGCAGGTGAAACGGATAAAACCAAAAATCACCTCACAACTTCCCCAGATAGTTACTTACGTCAAGTCAGTATTTCCCCTGAAATGTTGTGTTTAAATGCAGATTAGCTTTAAATCTATAGATGAATTCAGACATGTTAGTAAAACTAACACCATTTATATGTGTTTCTTGGAAGTTTTATTTCCATTAGAGTGAAAGAAAACATTGAAGCAAAATAGACCAAAATAACGAGTACATGAAAAAACTGTCTTTTTGCCTGAAATGTCCTTAAACAGTAACTTCATAATTTTGATTGTTGGCTGCTCATTTAATAACTATTATTTTACTAGTTTGTTGTCTGCTCTTGTGCGTAGTGAATACTAAAGAAGACCATTGTCTCCGTGTTAGCTGATTATTTTTGTAGAATTCTGTTGAGTATTAAACAATTGCGTGAGTGTGAGGGTATTAAAAATAAACTGGTCAGTAAGTCAGAGATGTGCAACTATATTTAACTTTTTGTTTTAAAACTTTTTTTTAATAAATGATTATGGGAAGTGCCCTTTTTCTCACTTGAGCTCCCGCCCCCCAAAATGTCTGTGCACGTCCCAGCTCTATACGTAACATCACTAACTACCCTTAACCCCGTGACGTTTCACACAGAGGTTAAGGAATAGACGATAGGAATAGACGATAGGAGCAGATTTTTTGACTTTTCCACTGCAGCCCTGGGCTAGTGGGCTCGCGCGTGTTTCATGTATAGAAGTTGGTCGAACGGCTGATCGCGCGCAGGCTGACTGAGCGGAACCTTTTCTCTGGAAACCATGATTCCTTCCGGAAGAAAACTAGGCTGCACCAGCTGGCGTTGCACTGGACCCGTTTTCTAGATAATGTAACAACTGTTTGACTTGCAAAGTAGGATAATAAGTTGTACCATACACGGTAATGAGGTATTAAGTTGATAATACATTCATAACCTGGCTGCTGGCTCATATTAGCAGCTTTACCGTTAACAGGCACCCGGTAACGCATCGCTTTAAAAGTCAACCCCTAGGTGAGATACCGTAAATGACTGCGACTATTAACTTGTAGGCCTTTATCTAAGGGTAACTGCAGCTTCTGAAGAGGTCCATGATGCTGTGAACAGCACATTATTCACAGACCGCTAGTAGTAAAGTATTCCCTGGGACAGATGTGTGTATTTTATATGAAGATGATTTTATTTTGCTGTTAGCGTAAGTTGCGTCTGACGGACACCATGGATGAAGAACCAGAGAGAGCCAAGCGCTGGGAAGGGGGCTATGAGAGGACTTGGTAAGATGTATCTAGGGAGATTATTGTAGATGTATCATGTATGTGCTATAATTTGACGCAATATTGTTTAATGGATGTGTTACAGGGAAGTGCTGAAGGAGGACGAATCTGGATCCCTGAAAGCCACAGTGGAGGAGATCCTGTTCCAGTCTAAGAGGAAGAGGTGTGTGTGTGTGTGTGTGTGTGTGTGTGTGTGTGTGTGTGTGTGTGTGTGTGTGTGTGTGTGTGTGTGTGTGTGTGTGTGTGTGTGTGTGTGTGTGTGTGTGTGTGTGTGTGTGTGTGTGTGTGTGTGTGTGTGTGTGTGTGTGTGTGTGTGTGTGTGTGTGTGTGTGTGTGTGTGTGTGTGTGTGTGTGTGTGTGTGTGTGGTAAAGGTCTATGAGGTTCAGGACTCCGCTACGTGTTCCTGTAGCTCGTAGAAAGCAAACCTTGGTGTTGGGCCTGTAAGCCGTGGTTTCGATGGGGCCGCTCTAGATTTCACCATTACAAAAGGCACAGCGCCCTGTACCTTGATGTTATGTACTTACATGTAATATACCGTTCCAGAGCTGGCTCCACTTGCATCTGCAATGGGGTTTAGCTGAGCCAATGTCACTTCCCCAAATCCACCCGTTTCAGGCCTCTATCAGCTTTAAACTCTTCTAGTTTGTAGAGCTCCTTCAGCCAACTTGTCCATCCTTGTGCAGCCAAGGCTGGACAATATCCTCCAAACAAGTTCCTGTCTGCACAAGTCTTGAAGAATCCTTTTGACGGATAGGACCATAGTTGCCAAGATTCCTAAGTGGTCATAGATTGAGCTGACATTAGATAGGATCCCTCTTCAGGTTGTGTGTCTGATTATCATTGTAAATGATTCAGAAGAAGATGCCCACCACCAAAAATGAGTGTAAATACCATATAGAAAAAAACCACACCTTACATGTGACTCCTATAGATTATACCAAATGTCTTTTGCACTGCTATATTGTCTGTTGAATGTTTTCCCCTGGCTGCTGTATTGCTTTATATTCATTGATGTACTAACAGTACATCAATGAATATAAAGCAACTGGCCACTTCCAAAAAGAAAGCCGTTAATCCAAAATGATTGTTAATATAATCGTATCTGCTGCTCTTTTCTCCTCATAGGGTGATAGAGAGCCATGGACAAGTGAGGCTTGGAATGGTAAGTGAGTTCTGCATCCTTGCCACAGAACCTTCAATGTTCTGTATGCTTCCAAATAATCCCAAGGTTTCCAGGATCACATGAAGGCACCTATTCCACCACAATACCTTTTTATACATTTTAGTGAAGACCAAAATAGCCAAATAACCTTTTTGTGTATACAATACTGTTTGAATGGAATCTTATTATCAGACAATAAATGCAGAGTTTAGAACAAATTATTGTTTCTTATTTACAATATAATAGTTAATATAACACAAGTCCTATAGAGAAGAAGATTAACCTTTAAATTCAGTTTTGCACTCTTGTATTTATTTTGTATCCACACAGACACACACACACACACACAGTATACAGGCCTGAGACTGAGCCGCTGCCGCCTCGTGAGGGCAATGTAGCTTGAAATAACTCTTGCAGGAATTCATTTGGTATCACAACACTGTACTGTATGTGCCCTAGATGCGTCACCTCCACGTGGTAATTGACTGTTCAAGAAGTATGGATGACCATGACTTAAAACCAAACCGCCTCACCTCCACTCTGAAGGTACGTCCTGCAGCAGAGCATCACTCTGCACCAGCAGTATATGATGCCATGAGGTGTAAAGCTACATCTCTTTTCTCCTGTCCTCTGCAGCTCATGGAATCTTTTGTTGAGGAGTATTTTGACCAAAACCCCATCAGTCAGGCAAGTTTAAGTTTATACTTTCATGCTTATGTTTACACACTGGTTGTGTTCTATTCGAGTAATGGTTGCTCAACAGGAAGCTACTTTTGGCAAAGGCTTCTGCCTCAAAATCTGTGATAGGAATTTCTCATTATTTTTGAGATTTCTTTGACAAATGATTAACGTAACTCAAAGATTAATAAGTAAAACGTATTCAACGATGTTGCTGTAAAATGACTACAATTTATTTCACAGGTTCTTAAATTATTTTGTAATATTCCTAACAGGGATTAATACCAAGTGTCTAAGCTTTAACAGCTAATTGAGCTTTAAAGCCCAGCATGAGAGAGAATCTTTTCTCCTCCTTTATGAATAAATTGTTAAAGGAACCATTTTGATCAGCAACACGACAAATCATTTGTCATTAAAGACAGCACTGCTGCTGTCAGACCAAAATAACTGAATTGTTGTTGTAGAACGAGACAATATCTGCAAACAAGTTTCACAGTGGCTGACCTGACAACTTGTGTTGTGTGACTATAGCTGGGCATTATCACCACAAAGAATAAACGGGCTGAGAAGCTGACCGACCTGGCAGGTGAGCATCACATGAACTGCTAATATTAAGCCTTTTCCAACAGGAAAAAAAAGCTTTTGTCTTTAGTTTAAAACGTTGCCATGATCATTCATTCCCGGGAAATGATTCTGCAGGAGTAACTGTACTTATCGTCTCCAGCTTAAATGTGCAAAGGAGAAACATGACCCCTTGTGAGCCATGCTGTGACGTTTATTGAAATGACAACACCGCAAATAAGATCAACACAGTTTGGACGGGACAACAGTCATTTTATCTTGCTGATCCTCATAAAACAAACTTCTCAAACTTGACAGTAACAAAAGAAGTCAAATCAACTGTTTAAACCCTCACCATCTCTGGATTGGGAGTTTAAAAGAAAAAAACAATTTGTGAGTTACAATTATGATGTACTAGCATACTTGTCTACTGGCAGTCAACAGCAACAATAAATGTTTAGTGTTAGTTTGCCTGTAAACTACAGCCTACGGTCTATGAAGTGCCCGTGCTGCATTTATGTACTGTGTAGTTTTGTTTTACCACCAGGAAATCCAAAGAATCACATTGTTGCTCTGAAGAAAGCAGTCGCCACTTTGTGTGTTGGAGAGCCGTCCTTATACAACTCTCTCAACCTGGCCATTCAGACACTCAAGTAGGTTATGCCATGTTTATATTCTACATTGGTTTCTTTGATGTTACTGAAAGTCACTCAGCTGGTGTCTGTCCTTGTATGAAGGCACATGCCTGGACATACGAGCCGGGAGATCCTCATCGTCCTTAGCAGCCTCACTACATGTGACCCAGCCAACATATGTGAGCTGATTAAGGTGAAGTTGAACCCTAAACCCTACCTAAGAGAGCGCAGTCAAAGGCTGCAGTTAGGCTTCTGAGTTTACTAGATATTTCACATTTCATTTTTTATCTGAGTTTAACCGTGTTTGCCCTGTCAGACCCTGAAGGCTCTCAAGGTGCGGGTGTCTGTGATTGGCCTGTCAGCTGAGGTCCGGGTGTGCACAGTCCTGACCAGAGAGACGGGAGGCTCGTACCGCGTTATCCTGGATGAGAGTCACTTCAAGGAGCTGCTGATGCTGCATGTCAAACCTCCTCCAGCCAGCTCTTCATCTGAATGCTCTTTAATACGCATGGGTCAGTATGCAGGCGCTCTTTCCTTCCTCTTTCTCCTTCTCTAACTTGACATCCGAGTGATAACACCAAAGTGTTGTAAACATGCTGTGATGTAACAAACAGGCGTTCTGCTGCCATCACATATGTAGGACTGTTTTAAAAATGTAATACAATATTACCGAATGGGGGTTAACACGTCAGAGCTTTCATACAATCATACACTGTTGGGGCAGTTTATTTCAATATTCAGGCTTCCAAATATAAAACCCCACTGGTAGAATGGTAAAAGACCTGTTAGCGGGCCAAGTAAAGGAGGCCTGTTCTTGAACGATGAGGACAGCAATTTGAAGTGGTCACTCATAAACATGAACCAAACACACCAATCAAATCAAATCAGGTTTTATTTATATAGCACATTTTAAAAACGATTTTTGGTCGAGCCAAAGTGCTGTACATATAATAATTACCTTACAGTAAGGACACTATACAGTAAATACAACGAATATCAGTATGAGAAAACGACACCCTCTGTCCTTAGACCCTCACATCGTACAAGGAAAAACTTCCAGAGAAAACCCACAGTTTAAAGGGAAAATGGGAGAAACCTCAGGGAGAGCAACAGAGGAGGGATCCCTCTCCCAGGACGGACAGACGTGCAATAGATGCCGTGTGTAAATCGTAGAGATAATACATTTTACAGCATATAGACCGAATGTTAGGAAATGCATGTGTCTGTAATAAGAAGATGAATCTACGAAGATGTCAACTACAATCCTGTGGAAGCCATCAGGGAAGCAGCATGACGAGACCCAAGGCAGGACCGCAGAGACAGGTTCAGCCACGACCCGAAGTCCACGACTTAATCCAGAACTCAGGATAGAGGATCCAAGACACAGAACTACAGCAAGAGGATCAGCCTCGACTCCGGATCCCGGCGTAGATATAGACGAAAGAAAATATGGGGGAGGCTGGGTTAATCGGAACATGAGAGTTCGCAGACACAGACAGGCACACGCAGGGAGCAAGGTCCCCACTGGGGTCTTAGTTGGAATTGGTGAGAGATAAGGAGGTACGCTGGGACTACGGCATAACACTCCCCGGCCTTGGATAAGCCACTCTGCAAAACCTGTTTCCCTCCAATAAAACCTCGTGAGGTCATGGAGGGAAAAGGTTGTGGATAAAGAGAAAATAGAAAGAGTAGTAATAACCTTGGTTTTAAATATAAGATCCAAGTTTTTAGGATTTAAGTGAAAGAGCAAGAACCAAAATGTAGGTGAAGAGGCACAGCGTATCTGCGTCAAAGCACTCTCATTAGGTTATTTGATCAACTGTAAGCTTTATCAAAAGAAAGTCTTAAGCATACTCTTAAAAACGGATAGGCTGTCGGCCGCCCGAACACAAACTTGAAGCTGATTCCACAAAAGTGGAGCTTGATAAGAAAAGGCTAGAAGGCCAGAGAGAAGAAGTGAGTTTTAAGTGTAGATTTAAAAACCCTTAATGTCTGGGCCGACCTCACATGGAGGGGCAAAGTGTTCCAGAGCCTAGGGCCCGCTGCTGCGAATGCTCGGTGCCCTCAGGTTTTGAGCCTGGTCTTAGGCACTATCAACAGCAGCTGATCAGCCGACCTTAAGGCTCTGCCTGGGGTGTAGCGATGGAGGAGTTCGGCTATATAGGCAGGAGCCAGCCCATTTAGGGCTTTGAAAACAAATAAAAGGAGTTTAAAATCTATTCTGAACCGAACTGGAAGCCAGTGCAATGAAGCCAGAATTGGGGTGATATGGTCACGCTTTCTATGGCCAGTAAGAAGACGTGCAGCTGCGTTCTGAACTAGCTGGAGGCGTCTAATTGAGGCCTGATCCATACCCACATACAGAGCATTGCAGTAATCCAGTCTCGAGGTAACAAAGGCGTTAATAACCCTTTCTAGGTCTTTAAAAGATAAAAACGACTTGGTCTTAGCCAATAGTCGTATTTTGAAAAAGCAGGTCTTGACTACAGTGCTAACCTGCTTATCAAAGGCAAATTTAAAGGCGCTGTTGAAGGTCACTCCAAGGTTCATAACAGAGGGGAGGATATTTGTATTGAGGGAGCCCAGAATATCAACCGGGGAGACTGTTGGTTGGGGTCCAAAAAAGATGACTCGGTCTTGCTCTCATTGAGGGTAAGGAAGTTTTGGCTCAGCCAGGATTTAATCTCCATTAAGCAGTCCTTCAACTGCTGTAGTGAGTTGGCATTTTGATTGAGAGGCAGGTACATCTGTGCATCATCAGCGTAACAATGGAAGGGGATATTATGTTTCGTGAGAATTAAACCTAGGGGCAGTATGTACAATAGGAAAAGGATGGGGCCCAGAATCGAGCCTTGGGGAACCCCACAGGTAACTGCACTGAGAAGCTACGGTCTGTCAGGTAGGACCTGAACCATGCAAAGGCAGAGCCTGTAATGCCTGCAGACTGTTCAAGCCGTGTCAACAGGATACTATGGTCCACAGTGTCAAAGGCAGCAGTCAGGTCTAACAGCACCAAGACAGCTGGGCTGCCTGAGTCGGCGGCTAGGTTATCTGAAGTCAATGTAATATATACCGTTCTGCTATGCCACATACTCACTGGAGGACAACGTTTGATTACTGCAACACTGAACGTTTGAGTAACATTTCTATCAAAACTGTCGTGCCCAGCTACATTTCTTAAATGTAAAAATTAATTTGTGATAAAAGGAATACTTAAAGGGTACTTCAGAGTAACAAGGGGTGAGTTGTTGATATACAAATACACTTTGTTGAAGTAATCCTCTAGGTTTTGAGCAAAACACTTTTGAACACAAAGAACAGTCCATCCCCTTAAGATCAGAAAGCAACAAATCAAATCTTTCTTTTGTTTCAGAAAAATATATTCCTTTTTTCTCCTTATTAAAATACTAAGTTTGATGTTTATATTTGTTTGATGTTTATATTTGTCCCTCGCCAACTTGTTTTCTCAGGTTTTCCTCCACACATCATCGCCTCCCTCACTAATCAGGATGCCAAGCCTTCATTCAGCATGTCGTAAGTTGAAAGCGGTGTTTTTACAGGGTGGTCAGGACTCTGAGTCGCCACTGTGTACTGACGTGAAGTTTATTTTTCCTTGTGTGTGTCTCCAAGGCACCTGGACAGCAGCAGTGGTGCGGGTCTGTCTCTGGGAGGATACTTTTGTCCGCAGTGCCAAGCAAAGTACACAGAGCTACCTGTGGAGTGTAAAGTCTGCGGTATGTGTGATACAAGATTTGAGTCTGTGTGTCGGTATTAGATAAGAACACTTTTTTAAAACGGTGCTGTAGTTGCAGCAGTCTCAAAAGTTGTTTTGCTGCATGCACAAACATGTCTTTTTTTATTTGTGTTATTTAAGCTCATGTACTCAAAAATACAGATGTGCTCTGACTACAGGTTAGTTTGGACCAGGTATCCTACTTTGGGACTTCAGGGGAAAAAGCACAGGCTTCCGGTCTGAGTGCTCTGCTGCTCAGCTTGTCTGGTCTACAAGCATCAATATAAGTTATTTGGCTAGGTTAAGGAGGAGGCAATCAGAGGAAGAGGGAGGGAGGGCAACGACACCCTCCCTCTTCACTGGCCTGGGTAGCCCAGTGCAGCAAGTCAGTTTAGTCGCTCCCTGCCGCCATCACCAACTTGCGAGGCAGCTAGTTACTGCATCTAATATGAGTATTTTTCTTTTCGGATGTGCTGCATCACAAATTAGGCAAACCAAAAATGAAGATGGTGATCTACAAATGGGCAAATACATTTTATGTGCACCAATAGATCAACAAGCGCATAAATATGACTTTTCTTGTAAACCTATTACATTTGTATGTGAAATGTAATATATGTATTTCAGGGTTCTTACGGTCATTAAAAACCTGGAAAAGTCATGGAAATTCAAAATGCTAATTCCAGGCCCTGGAAAAGTTATGGAAAACAATATTTTTCCCAAAGTTTTGGAAAAGTCATGGAAATGTAACTAAAGTTGCATCAAATATCATTTATATTTGATCTAATCGCCGAAATAGTAATACTGTAATGATAATAAATACTGTATCGTAATGAAACGTAAAATGGCATTTAACTGTCGAGGTATTTTGCTGGTGAGAGATTTGAGTTGCTTTAGCGTGTAGAAGCTAGTAAGCCTATTTGATTTGTTTTAGATAGGACCAACATGTTTCAAACCTTATTTTCCTGTTCCATGTTAAAATAAACCATTTTCAGTGGTACCGCTGAGAAAGAGTCATTTTTTTGGTCATGGAAAATGAGGTAAAGGTCATGGAGAAGTCATGGAAAATCATTGGTGAAAAAGTGTATGAACCCTGGTATTTACAGATTACGTTACGCATGTTCCAAAAATCGCTCTGTATTTTTTGTGGCCATTCCTTAACACAACAAAATAAACAACACATGTTTTTTGATAGTGAAATATGTATGGATCATGGGTGGTCCTAGTGTGTAGTTTTGGATTGTCTTCCGTGGGTTACAAGTATTAAAGTCCAATAAAAGACCTCCATAATGCTGCATAACTTTGACTGTGTGTGACGTATCGTCTCCAAGGTTTGACTCTGGTGTCGGCACCCCATCTTGCCAGATCCTTCCACCACCTTTTCCCGCTCGCAGCCTTTACAGAGAGTCCTGTGGATGGGCTCCAAGACGACAGGTGGCTCTGACACACAAACACACTAGCCTCACATGCTAAAACTGTGTCTCTCTGTATCTTAACCTGATCTCATTTGGTTTCAGGGTCTGTCAAGCTTGTCAAGGGGAGCTGAAAGATAAAACTGTAAGTACAATAGCTTAATATAATGGCATATTCGGATATAGTTCTAATGAAGATTGTTTAAATTGGATGCAATATTAGTGTAAAAAAAGATACTTTATCTCTTTGCCAACAGAAAAAGAAAATAAGTCCTAAGCATACAAAGTAGACATTTTCTTAATTTTCAAATTGCACACAGTACTGATAGTGGAACATATACAAATACTTTTTAAATATTGTTACAATAGTGCTATCTTCCTAATTAAACATTGACTTTATAAGTACTCTCATTCTCTACAACAAATGACAGGACTTGCTCAAACTAATCCCAAAATAGTGTTTCAGGTTACTGGATAATTTACTAAAACTAAAATGCAATATCCAAAACACATGTTTTTCTTTAAAAACATATCTATAAAACAAATGTTTTAAGGTTGTTACTCCATAGCTGACCGGCGCAGACTGAAAACTCATCTCTTTCAACTCCACTTCGAGCGATACAATGAAAACATTTTTGTACTTACGTACTAACAAAGCACTTACTAACAAAGCACTTACTAACAAAGCACTTATATACTAACAAAGGACTGGCTTATCTAAAGCCAGTTGAGTAGCACTTGAAATGTTTGGCTCTATGAAACCTGATTAAATGTACTTATATGATTCTGTTTTCTTCAAGTCTGTATCTTCTTGGTCGAATGTACTTATTGTTATTCGCTTTGGATAAAAGCGTCAGCTAAATGCAATGAAATGTTATAAATTGCATGCTTGATGTCTTCCTCACTTAAAACCTTCTGGCCGTGTAAACAGCAGATAGATTTCTTTAGAAAAGTCCAGTGGACTCCAGGCTTCACACATCATATATGCAACTGGATGAATCCTAACCACTTTTGACTTGTTCCAAGTATACATTGGCATTCCTTTTAGTGGAGTTTGGTCCTAAAGCGCCTTTTCCACAGCTTCTGTAGACAGCCTCTTATTTTTCAAAGATTTGATTACCCGTCACAGAAAGTACCGTTTAGCTTGTATAAAACATTTGTAAAACACCCGATCTTCTTCAGTTACAGAGGGGTACTTTGTAACTGATTAGACCATTGGAAAAACAACAAATGATACACAGTATATCCACATTGTTTTTAGGAATACAATTACAAATGTTATACCTTTTTTATTAGTATGTACAGTAGAGGGATGAAATGCTGGCACTGCAGTTCATCATCTGTGCCTTGTCCACCCTAATCTTTATCACGTCCATTATAACAAGAGTTCCAGATACAAAAGGCATGCCTTACAAACCAGACATTTGGTATAGACATTTTACAAGTCCCCAAACTATGTGGAACTACAATGGTTAACACTTAATATTAAGTGTGTTCTTGCATTCATTTGATTATTGCTAGTTAAATCCCTTTATCCATCTTTATTTATCTGCTCTCTCTCCCTATGTCTCAAGGCATTCACCTGTCCATCGTGTCGCAGTGTATTCTGTGTGGAGTGTGACCTCTTCATCCATGACTCGCTACACTGCTGCCCCTGCTGTCTTCACAGTCAGAGCCCCACCTGATACTGAGGGGCTGACTGTCCCACACAGACTGAAATAAACTCATGGGTCATGTGCCCTTATTGGCTCATCACATCGATCATATTGGTATCATGAAGATATGCAAAAAGAAATGTTTGGTTTGGTTGATCCTTTCATTTTGAAGGTGGAAGCAGTTTGTTGCGATATAGACCATGCTGGCCAAAGAGCTTCTCCTTTTTTAGCGTTTCTGTTACTGCTGTTAAATGGCACATTGCATTATTTTTATAAGAAACAGTTTGATCAAATTGTTTATACGTTTGGTAGCATGCTACAGTTCTGTTTGTGACACAGTAGTTGGAATTTGACTTGGAACTTGTACTTATTATTTTTGTACTATAAAAGCACCATATAAATGCAGTCCATATGCCACCAATGTTGACTCTCCATATTTAAATGTGTACTTTTGGACCAAATAAATAAAATAATCACAACTCCCCCACCAAAATGGTATTCCTAGCATTATGGAAACGCCTAGTACTTCATGATTTCCAACAGTGTTCGGGTTATTCCATAAGATGGCAGTGATGTAACGAAACGACTGTCCGCTGCAGTAAAACTCATAGAAGAAGAATTCCGGCGGTTTCTTCGAGTGCATTCTGACCATCCTGACCTGACTGCAGGAAGCATTCTCAGATCTACAGAGACACTCGGAGCTCTGCCCCGGCCCTCCAATGTCCCGCATGCTGAACGCTATCGTGGCGGTGTGTCCTGACCTGGGCATCGGGATGGACGGGCAATTGCCCTGGCATCCAGTTAGACTCAAGTAAGTCCCCTGATGGACGGAGGAGCCCGTTAACGTTGTAATACACTGACTGTGGGGGATAAGTGGCGTAGTGTGACAGGTAGCCTGTGTGTTAGCTTAACAACTTTATGTTCTTCTTTTATAGTAACGAATTCAAACATTTCCGTAAGATGACAGCGACGCCCTCTGTGGAAGGTAAGCACTGTTCACCATGTTCTGTGGGGAATCAAAGTGAATATGTTGAGTTACATGATGTTGCTGTTGTCCCTTACAACCACACATTCTATGTATAAAGGCATGTGGGTCCAGAGTCGGAGGACATTTAGCTATCAAAACCTTCGCAAAATGAACCCTTTATTTTCTAATTTTCGGGCAATGTGATGGTTTACAGCAAGTAAACCATCACATTGATTTGGACAGCTCAGGCTTCAATGGTACATTTTATTAGATATGTTGTTGTTGCTATTTAAACGTTCCCAATGTTGTGCTAGAACTTTGAAATCAATAGAAATATTTTTTTTTACAATCAATTTTACTAAACAAAATAAAATACATTTCTGAAAATGCAACCCTGTAACCTTAATTACTCTAATTATAGTAGCAATACTTATATTATATATATATATAATATAATATTTGCCTTTACCTCAGGGATTATTGCTAGCTGCAGAATGTACTGCTACTTTAAAGACACGGACAAGATATTTAACTAAAGAAAGATGTCTCTGAAATGTTTTTTTGTCTTATTCTGATATGAGTAACGGGTGCATTAGTTAGAGTGCCACACTAGTTCAAGACTGAACAAATATGAAAAACACCAGAGGACTGACCTTTGGTCGACCCATGGCAGCAGCACCTCTGTGTCATGTGACTGCAGCCTTTTCACTCCCTCTGCCAAGAGTAATGGGTTTAGGTAACAGAGGTGTGAACATGTTGAGGGACACACCTTCAGTGTAAAATGTCTGGTGTTTATGATATACATACAGCTCTGTAAAAAATTAAGAGACCACTTCAAATGTTTCTTCAATCTCTACATGTATGGCAGCCGTTACATTCCAGTGTCTGTTGCATTCCAACACAGAGAAAGTTGTCAGTAGTTTATAGAAACAAATAATTTGACTCAAACAGAAACCTATATATAGTAAAACCAGAGAAACTAATAATGATGCAGTGGTCTCTTCATTTTTTCAGAGCTGTATATCAACAAGATAATAGAAAAAAAGGCTATTTTAATTTGACATGCAAGTTGATCTACAAGGAGGAGGAACATTTAAATTAATATGTTGAAAACAATTTTTCTACAACTGTATTTGCATTTTGTCTAAGTTCAAGTATATTTAACACAACAAGTGCATGTTTTTGCGTTTTGGGCATGGAATATTTGAAATGTCATGTCCTTCAATTTCTGGAATGACCCATTTTTAATAGGCTCCGCTTTTCAACCCTTTCCCCACATGTGTTAATTTGACAGGTTAAGCACTATAGCATTTCATTTGTGATCATTCACTGCTACACTGCGCCCGTGTACAACACAATACATCATCCATACTCTGTTAGTGGATGACACATGAGAATGACCCCAAATCTCAAATGAGCACACTTTTATTAACTGTGCTGTCTCTTGATGTATATGGTTTAGCTATTACAAATGACTAAAGTACCCAAGAACACCGGCCAATCGGACTCCAGTATTAGGCAAATGTCGATGGCTTATAAAACAGGATATGATAGACAAGGGTCCACACACAGTGTTGAAATGTATGAAAACAAGTTAATCTAGAGATTTAATTCAGATCTTTAAGACCACTGGATAATAATGGACAAGCTGATGGCGCTAGCCAGGAGTCAGACGGAATATCTGGAGTGTAGTTTAATGTGCTTTAAGGAAACATAGTCTGACCCATGCACCAGGATTAACTGACAATGTTTCCTTGGATGGCTTCTGGACTGTTTAGGCCGACATGTCTCCATCATGAGCCTGAGTCTTCAGAGACCAACGTGATTGAGTTACAGTAGCACATGTTGTATGCATCGGATTGCTTTTTTCCCCTCAGTAATGCAGAAAATCTGATCAAGAATCATTTTATTTCATTTTGAATAAGGGAACATTGTATATTCTTTTTTTCTCTGTTTCCCTAATTAGCTCCTAAATATGTGCAAGTTGCATACCTAAATAGATCACCAGAGAAGCCTATTTATGGGTATAGTTTACTATCATATGAAAGCGCTATAATTCCTTAATGTCACCACTCGGGAATAGGTTTTTATGCCTCGTCCTGATTTGCTGTAGTACGCTATACTCTGCTGATAGAATTCCAATTACAAAATTGATTAATCTATTGGTATTTATCACAGATAATATTGAATCAATACAATATATTTCACTTGGATTTGAACAATAACTAAAGGGTTCTTATGAGACAGTGTCGTACCTTAATGCGAATTTGAGAATAACCTTTACATTTGCTGCATCCGTGACGTTACGGAATAGCAATACAAAGCTCCACCCCCAAGTACCACTCTGTTCTCTGTTACATCACTGCTGACAACAAAATGTTACAATAATCCTGGATGAAACAAAGGGTTTAGTTTTTGCACCAGCCATGTATAAAAAGGCTTGATTGTTGTCTATGTTTTATAGGTGAAGGAAGACGATCTTTGTAACACCTGGTATTGAACAAAAGAGAAGCTTGAATTCCATGTAACACCAACATTGTTCGGTGTCTGACTTAAGATATCAAAGTTGTCTTTTACTAAATCAAACTGGTGCCTACAGTATATCAAGAGGGTTTTATGACCAGCATCTCAGTTTATCTGTAATTAGTGGAATGCTGTTTACAGCATTCCAATATTGTTCTTCTTTTCTTTAATCATCTTCTTCTTTTAAAAAAATGATTTCACCAAATAGTTTGGCTCTCAATAACTTCAGCTACAGAAACCATTCAAATATCAAAATATTCATCCTTTTCAGCACATGATGGGCTTTTTAAACTCTTTAACATGTAACTCAATGGGAGGAACCTTCAAATCCTCTTTTACCTACACCTTGCGCCAAATGCTACTCCTTCCATACTTTCAGCTAGAGTCTTCATTCCAACTTTAAAACGGTCACAAGACATTCAGCTATAAAACTTGTATTCAGATTTTTGATATTTTTTTACACTTTTTGAGATATTTAACTTAATTTGGAGCTTGGTAAAGAGGCCTTCTTCAGAGTTTAACATGACTGTGTATTGCGTAGCTCGTTAAGGGCTAGAGTGCGTGATGTCACAGCTAGAGTGGAGGAGAGCTTGAAATGTGCCTTCAACCTGCTATAACTCCCAAACCCTACACTCCTTGGACATCATTGTTCATGAAAAATTTAGGAAAACCTCTCTTACGTTGAAAATTAAATTTAGCCTCATCTTTCATCACAGCACCAGCTCCACACCTTTTAGTTAATCTGCCAAAAAAGCCATATTATTGACCCGAAAATACACAAAAAGCAGACTGAGATGCTCCTCAGGGTAGAGTCCTACCCGACGGGTGACCCGCAAAAAAGGTGATTCGCGGGTGGTATTTTTTCAAACGCTTTTCTCCGGGTTCGGTTCTGGGTAAAACAAAGATGATGCGAGTCGGGTCGCGGGTGTTGCATAATAAATATATTAAAATAATAATAATTTAGTTTAATGTTTAAATCCTCAGACCTCTCCCCCGCGGGACCGCGCATAATCATAACCTCTGCAGCGCATCAATCTGCTGCTGAGCGCGCCACATTCAAAATGGCTGAGGTGAAGCTCTCTAGCGGAGAATACAGCATTTTCAATAACACTTCCTCAAGAGCGAAATCCAACGTCTGGGAGGCTTTTGGTGTCATCCTAGATGGAGGAAATAACCAACATCCCACGCTTTTTGAGACAAATATGCAACTGCGTGTGTTGCGGATCTTGTGCCGTCGGGTCGGGTTGCGGAACTGATTGGCAATATGTGCGGGGGCGGGTTCGGTATTGCACGTCGCGGGGCCGGAGCAGGTCTTGAAAATCAGACCCGTGCAGGACTCTGCCTCAGGGTCCTGACCAGGCCATTTGGCCTTTGGTGTCACCATTTCTTTAGGGCGCAAAGGCCACATGCCAAGGCACAAAGGCCATTGATGTAAACATTTGGATTTGGAGCTTACAAATAAATAACATCACTTTCTGATAAGAAAAACATACAAATGACATGGAAAACAAATCACTTTTTTAATATCAATAATGTCAAACATTATATCATCATATAGGCTTATGCCTCCTTAGTATTACCGTATACAAAATGAAATACTCTGCTTTGAATAATTAGTGTTTGGTATGTTTTCCATCTACTACTTCTCCCATTCACAAATCCAAAATCAAATCAAAAAATCTAAAATTCTATTAATATGTAACAAATATATTCCATTTCAGAGCAGAAGAAACAGCCTTCAAGGGTCAAACTCTGCTCATACATCATTCAGCAGTGCACAGTGAAGCTCAAACAGTCAACTGTATGAATAAGCAATACTTTGAAATGCAAAAGTGTGTGTGTGTCTCTTTAATCAACTCCTCACAGCTCTTCATATCTGTTATGAAACTGGACAAAAGTTAAACATGTACAAACCACAGACTGTCTGTTATGGCGAATACAGTCGCTGCTTTAATTCTGTCTTTAGGACGTTGTTGTGAGTTTGGACGG